GAGGAAATTCATAAGAACACGATACTTGAATCTAGAAATGCTTCATTTTTTGAGTATATATTTCCATGTAAGTCTAAAGTGGATTCTAGTTCCACTAAAAAAAATTTGGAAATAATGAAAAAAAATCAAGATGGATACTTTGAAGTAGAACCTCGAAAAAGTAAAAGAGGTCGGATAGAAAAATCTTTTGGTCCAGATTTTTTAACCTATATGGTTGATAGCGAACCACAAACGTTTTCAGAAGCTGTAAATTCTTCTGAAGGACCTCTTTAGAAAGAGGCAATCCAAAGTGAGATTGATTCCATTTTGCAAAATCACACATGGAAGCTAGTGGATCTTCCTCCTGGAAGTAAACCATTGGGCTACAGGTGAATTTTCAAAAGGAAAATGAAACCTGATGGAACAATTGATAAGTATAAGGTAGACTTGTGATTAAAGGTTATAATAAAAAAGAAGGCCTTGATTACTTTGATACATATTCTCCAGTGACGAGGATAACTTCCATCAGGGTGATTATTGCAATTGCAGCTTTACGAAATCTTGAAATACATCAAATGGATGTAAGAACAACTTTTCTAAATGGAAATTTAGAAGAAGAGATTTATATGGAGCAACCTGAAGGGTTCTCTGCTCCCGGGCAAGAGAATAAAATTTGCAAATTGGTTAAGTCTTGTATGGCTTAAAACAAGCTCCAAAACAATGGCATGAGAAGTTTGATAATGTCATGATTGAATGTGGATTTAAAATTAATGAATGTGATAAATGTGTTTATGTTAAAAACACATAAAAGGATTATGTAATCTTATGTCTTTACGTAGATGACATGCTTATCGTTGGAAGCAATGATAAAATTATTAAATCCACAAAAGATATGTTAAATTCAAGATTTGACATGAAAGATATGGGTCTAGCTGATGTGATTCTTGGAATTAAAATTCATAGAACATCACAAGGAATTGTTCTGAGTCAGACACATTATGTGGAGAAAATTCTTGAAAAATTTAATAAGGATGATTGGACTCAAGCTAGGACCCCGATAGATACAAGTCAACATCTGTCGAAAAATAAAGGAGAAAGTGCTTCTCAAGTCGAATATTCAAGGGTGGTATGGAGTCTGATGTATCTAATGAATTGTACTAGACCAGACATTGCCTTTGCCGTGAGTAAACTGAGTAGATATACAAGTAATCCAAGAAATGAACACTTGAAAGGAATTGTGAGATTACTCAGATACTTGAGATATACTTGTAAATATGGTCTGCACTACTGTAATATCCAGTTGTAATTGAAGGCTATAGTGATGCCAACTGGATATCGGATATGAAAGATTCTAAATCCACTAGTGGATATTTATTCACTTTGGGAGGTGCAGCCATATCATGGAAATCTTCTAAGCAGACTGTTATTGCCAGATCTACAATGGAGTCCGAGTTTATAGCATTGGACAAAAGTGGAGAAGAGGCAGAGTGGCTTCGCCACTTCTTAGAAGATATTCCAAAATGGTCAAAGCCAGTGCCAGCCATTTGTATACATTGTGATAGTCAATCGACTATAGGTAGGGCACAAAGTAATATGTATAATGGTAAGTCTAGACATATCCGTCGAAGACATAATACCATTAGACAACTGCTCTCGACTGGTACTATATCTATTGACTATGTGAAGTCAAAAGATAATCTTGCGGATCCGCTAACCAAAGGGTTAAACAAAGAGTTGGTTGCTAAATCTTTGATAAGAATGAGACTTAAGCCTCTAGAAATGAGTTGGTACAATGGAAATCCTACCTTGTTGACTTGAGATCCCAAGAACTTGGTTCAAAGGGACAACCTAATTTTTTTAAAAAAAAAAAAAAAAAAAAAAAAAAAAAAAAAAAAAAAAAAAAAGCAAAGCTATTGTGATCACTGTGGGATAGTATCCCATGTCCATTCCTTAAGCAGTGATACCCGTGGTGAGTAGGATAAGCATTTGCTTTTAATGATTCTTGTATGAGAATGTAGTACGGACTACTATTAATTGAGAATCACTTATGTGAGAGATAAGTGGGACCGCTTTGAAGAGAATTGTGTGAGGCTCAATTCTTAGACCCTCTCACAGAACCAGGCTATGTCCAAGGCCATTAATGGACATAATAATGAGAACTGAAATATGTCAGGGAGAATCCTGTGTGAAGTATGTTTATCGTTTACACAAAAAGCAGAACAGTTCAAAGACATCGCGTCTACTGGTCAGCTAGTAAAGTTGATGTGCTTTCACAAGGGAAGGTTCAAAGGGTAACACCTACCTATCCTATGCAGGTTTCAACTGTTGGACCATAACACTATTTTTCAATTTCATTCATGTGGGGGATTGTTGGAAAAATTGAATGAAATTGTAACTTTACATTAATTTTAACAACTTGCAAATTTAAGTTGTAACTTGTTGTCATGTTACAAACTTAATTCTATTAAATGTCGAAATAATGAAGTTAAATGAAGTGGGATTATCTTAGCCTATATAAAGGAGTTGTATTCCTTTGAAGAGGACACACTCACGCAGAGAAGAATACAAAAGTTCATTTCCCCATTTGTTTTCATTAGTGTTTTGGTCCAGGCATAATTCCAGTTCGTCGGATTTATTTCGGTTTTTCTGTTGTATCCTGGGAAACAGACGCTCATACGAGGCGAATCTATTTTAAAGAAACTATGTTCTCACAGGCCTCGGTATTTGTTATATAGCCATCTTATTTTTATTTTCCCGTTAAAGTTCCCTACATATTCATAACTATTAGGCAGAATCAAATAAACTCTAAGCATGTAATTCTATTAATTCATAGAACACGGATCTTTGCATAAATTACATTACACACTGAAACTTACAAGAATCCAGCATATAGCATTCCTTGTTTTCTTGATCTATGATGTTGATATATGATCCTCCTTGATCTATTTGATCTATGAAGTAAACATAGCATTTCTTGTTTTCTTGATCTATGATGTTGATATACGATCCTCCTTGATCTATTTGATCTATGAAGTAGATTTACGATCCTCCTTTCCCAATCTCCAATGATGATTTGTCTTTTCTTATGAATTGTTTCTCTCTCCCGCGTCTCTCCAATGATGATTTGTCTATGAATTGTTTCTCTCCCGCGTCTCTCGTCTTTTCATAAAACCCTTGATGTTGAGAACTTTATTTTAGTATGATAAGGGAAAGAGGGGCATGTAGTATATATGGGAGGAGGAGATTAGAAGTCTAATCCTACTAACATTCACCATGTTCTAACTGAACTTACTGTCTAAGTCAAAAATCACAAATTGGACTCTTTAATATTAGAACATTAAATAACCCATTAAATATATATTCATCTTAATTAAGTTTGACTATTAATTCAATTAGGTCCAACTAATTATATGGTCCACAATAATAGAATAATATATAAATATTATTACAACTTACACATTTTTAACTCGTCAAATGAGATCACAAACACAATTCTCAGTTTTAATAACAAACATAATAATGCCTCCAAGATGTTTTCCAATCAATCCAATTCTAAAGCGATTGAAACAAAAATTAGCAAAAACCCGAAAGAATTTTAATTAGTATCAATAGAGGATACAAAACTTGAGGATGTGATATGTTTTTGTATTTGTAGGATTGTTATACAAATAAGATAAATAAATATCCTTGAAAGTAAATATAAATAATTTTTTATAATTCATTAAACTAAATTTAAGTTTAAAATTAAAGTAAAGGTATAATAAGTTTTTTTGTCATGTACGAAGTGTACGAGTCAAGTACGAGGCAATACAAGTACTGGAGGAATTCTTTTTTTGCCTCGTACATTGAATATGTGATTGATATTTAATTTTAAATCAATCTAATGATCAATAAAGGGGTACTTGTTGTTATGCATGTACAGTGTACTTGGACCATAGAAGATCCAAACTTTATACTACCTCCTGTGCATTACAGGGCCGTGCACGAGGGCGTGCAGGCAGTACGTCGGTACAGGGCCTCCAAAATTTTGGGGCCTCCCGGCCGGCGGACGCTGGTCGGCGACGTGAGATGAACGAGCAGCAAAGCTCCAGCAGCTCTTAAATGGCGGATGTGAGATACGAGGAAGAAGGAGAACTTTTCAATGTAGTATTTTGCCTGCGAAATTACAAAACTACCCTCCACTTAAATAGCTTCTTTGGGATTAAATTGGGCTGCTGGTTTTGGCCAATCATTTGGGCTTTAGTGGCTGGAATTTCGGCCCAACAAACCTGAACAAAAGGGCTGATTGTAAATGGAGCAATTCATATGCACTACTCGCACAATGTTTGA